TTAACTCATAGAGTGCCTGTGGATGGAGGGTAAAAGGTGACCTTGGACCAGTTATCAAGGTCAAAGGTCAGTATCAAAACACACTATATATCTTTATTTAAAGTCCTTGTCCACAGCATAATTTTTCTCCCTTGGTATGATCTGGCTTGTGTGCCATGGGATGAAGGGTTTTTAGTGATCTTTAACAAAATTTCTAGGTCAAATGTCAATAAGAAAAAAAAAAGATTCATAATATCCTTGTCCAGAGCACATTTCTCTCCAATTCACTCAACTAAAAGCAGTGTATGAAATGGTCATACATGTATGAGATGGTCATATTCTGCTTTAATATTAATCTGGCTTAAAACCTTACTATGTAATGTTCATTATTCGGAGTTCATGGTCATTAAATTTAAAGACTGAAACTGATTATAATCACTGATATTGGTACATTAAAGGACATTGAGTGATCTTGTAAGATTTCTAAATAATATTCAAGCATACAATTCTTACATCAAATAATAATTTTATATGAAAATATATTGCAGATCGCAGATGATGTGAAGAAAATACAAAGGAAGCTGATGTTGAAAGAAGTATAGAGTATTTAATGAAGTTTATGAATGGACTTAGATGTGAAAGACTACTTCATTGTTTACCAAGATATATAATTTGATTTATTTTGTTATCATTTTCAAATAATGTTTTTGCACATCAAATGAATTATTAAACACATGATTTGATAATGCTTTTTCCTTTTTATACATTTTCTTGATAGATTTTGAAAAGAAAACACAGTTTACCAAGGAAATTGATAATATATATTTTGATTTAAACCTGCTGTTCTCTTTTCACATTCTAGACAAGAAAGATTTACCATGGTAAATACAGGGATCCTTGAGCTTCCAGTTGCTAGTCGATCATTTTTCGAAATTGAAATGCTCAACCTACCCTGTAGTTTCCATGGTATGGAAACTATTACACCGCAATTACACATTGCTTCCCGTCTCAGAAAAATAAGGGAATCTTGAAGTTTCCCTGTCATTTTCTTTTATGAGACACCAGATAATTCCACCAAGTTTCCATCACACGGAAACCGCTACGCTCCGATTCCATGTAGTTTCCTGAGTCATGGAAACTTGAGGAATCACGAGGTTTCCTCTAGATTCCGTTCATGGGAAATCTGAGGATTCCATGGAGTTTCCATTCCATGGAAACCACTACGCTCCGATTCCACATAGTTTCCTAATTATGGAAACCAGTGGAATCTTCAGGTTTCCCATTACGGGAAACCACATGGAGGCTCGGGAAACTTCAGGTTTCCTGAGGTTTCCGTGATTCGGGATACCTAATGGAATCGGAGCGTAGTAGTTTCCGTGGTACGGAAACTTGATGGAATAACCTGGCATCCACTGCGGAAACCACTAGGAAACATGATGTAAACATGAGGTTTCCATGTGGTTTCCATATAGTTTCCCATGAGGGGAAACTGCTTTTTTCACCCAGTGATGCAAAATATTCTTTCTTGTGTGAAATAATTGTTCAAATGAAGGGCCAAACCTTCTTTTAAGGGGAGATAAGAATGAGTGAAAATTTAATGTTATTTCAAAGAACCACTGGGCCAGAAAAGTTTAAAATTATGTGAAACTTCATTACTTAGTGTAGATTCAACTTTGTCCAAATCATGACCTTCAGGGGTAGGGTGCGGACACAATAGGGGATCAAAGTTTTGTAAACATGGGAATGTACAGTAAAACACGCTTATAACAAAGTACCTGGGACGGACGATTTTGCTTTGTTATAAGTGTAATTGCTTATATCCATTAAGTTTACAATATATTTTAAAGTCACGCTTTGCTGTAAGTGTCAATTCATTATAGACTTGTTTTGCTATAAGCATGCTTTACTGTATAAGAAAAAAATTCCTTCTCAAGAACCACTAGGCAAGAAAAGTTGAATCCTATGTGAAAGTTTCATTACATAATGTAGAAACAAATTTGTTCTTTCAAAACTACTCCTCCTACAGGTTTGATGCAACAAGTAGACTATACTAGTCTACATATTGTTTTTGTCAGTGTTCTTCTTCAATCAAATTTTGTCCGAGCCTTAACTAGACAACCCTTTGACATTAAGACTTCAAACTTGAAACATGGAGAGGTGGTATGGAATTGGGGTTGAGGCCACCAAACTTTTTTTTTTACCTTGACCTTACAATAAGGTCAAGGTCAATCTTTACATAAAAATATAGTCCAGGCTATAACCTGAGAACCCTTTGACATTAGGATTTCAAATTTGTAACATAGGAAAAAGGCATTTACAAAAGATGCACTGAAGTAAAATTTTGACCTTGACTCCTTTCTTCATTCAAGATCAAACTGAGAAAAACACCTCCAAACCATAACTTAAGAACCTTTTGACATTAAAACTTCAATCTTGGAACATGGAGAGGTGGTATTGAGAAAGGGTGCATGCAAACAAAATTTTTTGCCTTGTTTTTATGCCCCGCCATGAATATGGCTGGTGCATAACTGCATATAGTGTTTGTCATGTCCCTCTTCCGTCCTTTCATCATTCCGTCTGTCTTTCCGTCAAGCTTTGCGTTTAGCTCTGTTTAAAGTTTAGTTTCAAAGAAACTATCAAATATATTTATATCAAACTTCATATGCTGATAGATATTGATGAGAGCTATGTAACTGCATCAACATTTTTTGATCTTGAACTTTCCTTTGACCTCACATTTCTTAAATGTGTTTAGCTCAGTTTTAAAGATACCATTCAAGATAGTGGAATTAAACTTCTTACGTTGATACGTACTGATCTAAGTTATTCAACTGCATCAACAATATTTGACCTTGACCTTTCCTTTGACCTTGACCTCACTTTTCTTAAATTAGTGTTTAGCTCAGTTTTAAAGATACCATTCAAGATAGTGTAATTAAACTTCTTACGTTGATACAAACTGATGTAAGCTATTCAACTGAATCAACATTTTTTGACCTTGACCTTTCCTTTGACCTTGACCTCACTTTTCTTAAATTAGTATTTAGTTCAGTTTTCATCAAATCATTCAAGATATGTAAATCAAACTTCATATGCTGATATATACTAATGAGAGCTATTCAACTGCATCAATATTTTTTGACCTTGACCTTTCCTTTAACTTTGACCTCACTTTCTTAAATTTGTGTCAAAATTCATAAATGGGAATATACACTTAATTTGATCGCCGAAATATGGCTGAAATATTGCCGCCTAGGCATTTAACAATAATAATCAATTATAATCAATCCAAAAGATGATTAGGCTGTTGTGTAAAATGTTGGATGAATTCTGGGAACCAGGGTCTTTATATATATATATATATATATATATATATATATATATATATATATATATATATAAAATCATTTTTCGACCCCCATTTGACCTCCAGGGTGAAAATGAAAATTCCGAAACCTTACTGCACATCTACAGGACACCACCAACCACCTCCCAAAAGATGATAAGGCTACTGTATAAAATGTAAGAGGAGTTCAGGGGACCAGGGGCTTTTTGCATAAAAAACGTCATTTTTCGACCCCCAGGGTGAAAATGAAAATTCCGAAACCTTACTGCACATCTACAGGACACCACCAACCATCTCCCGAAAGATGATTAGGCTACTGTGTAAAATGTAAGAGGTGTTTGAGAAAGAAGAGTGTGACAGACGGACGGACGGACAGACATGAGTAACAACAATATACACGAACTTTCTTTAGAAAGTGCGGGTATAATAAAGATGATAAAACAAACAAATAATACCTGCCAAATTGGACTTCTCGATTTGCGAGTATAAGAGGCTACATCATGACTATATTTGATAATATATTTATTGACTTGGTATTATCCATTATATTTCGCGTCAGTCCGTAGAAACGTTTTTCAAAGGGCTCCCCAAAATTTTGACAAGCAAGAAAAAACCCCAAACAAAAAGCAAGCAATAAGACTTACTGGCCAACTCCGAAAATCCTATTTCGGGGGTTTGGGTGGGGTGGGGTGGTGGGTCTCCAACTAAATTTTTTTTGTTTCAATGCAAAAATTTTCCCGGGTTCGATCTTACATCAACAAAAAATAAGACAAGCATCATCTAAATTTACATATTAAAACTACAGCATAAGGCTTCTCTCAAAAAAGGTTATAGCCCCCACCCCTTCGTACTACGGACCTGCACGTACACATACTGTTGTCAGTTCTTATGATAAAAATAATTCTTAACTGATAAGAAAGACGTAAGACAGTCAAAGATCTTTTATTTGGTGCTCTGGACAATTGTCAGTGTTTTCACTTATAACAGGAAATATGGCGTCTGTTTGATTGAGGATATGATATATAGAATGATATACGAGGGTCATTCAAAAAGTTCACAGACTTTTGTAATAACTTTTTTACTTAACATCATATACTTACCAAATTTGGTAGACACATTTTAGCAGTTATTCCAATTAATTTGAATTAAAAAAAAGAATTAAAAATATCCTGATATACTTTCAAATTATTTAGATTTCCACACCGCAAAAAAGAGTTCACGGAGCACGGCAAAATTTATTGATTTACAATCAATGCACGATACTATGTTAATAGTCCTCGTTTTGAAAAATGGCGCTAAATTGAAATGAAATTTAGACATTCAAATTAGGTATTGTTGCGTCATTACATATGCAAAATTGTGACGTAATATACTGCTTCGTTGAATGAAAATTAATTAAAGAAGACAGGTAGTTCGCATCGGAAAAAGCCGTTAAAAAAAATGACTTCGCCGAACGTCACGGAGCAAAATTTTGTGTTGCTCTTGCATGGAAAGACACCGATACAAACTGTGAAAATGCTAAAAGAGGCAGGAAACATGTCAAAAGTGAGCCGTGCGTTTGTTTATAAATGGCACAAACGATTTATGAATGGCAGAGACTCTGTTTTAGACGATGGGCGATCAGGGAGGAAACGAATTATAAGTGAAAATTTGGTCGAAAAAAATAAGCAGCGTTATGGAAAGTGACGAGCGCGTCACAGTTGAAGAACTTGCGTCAATGTATGATATCAGCTCTGGTACTGCTTTTACAATTCTGTCCCAACACTCGGATATGAAAAGAGTTTCGGCGCGCTGGATACCCAAACTCCTGACTGATGAAGACAAAACAAGAAGATTACATCTTTCTAGGGCATTCCTTGGGCGGCATTCAAATGAAGACGATTTTCTTCAACGAATAGTCACAACTGACGAAACGTGGTTTTTTCATTACGATCCTGAAACGAAGCAACAGTCTTCAACATGGAAGAGAAAATCATCCCCGCCACCCCCCAAAGCTAAAGTCAGAAAATCTGCTAGGAAAAACATGTTCATATTTTTTTATGGATATTCATAGTATGCTCCTTGTGCATGTGGTACTCGAGGGACAATCAGTCAATGCAGAATATTACGCACAGGTAATATACAATTTTATATATATATATATATATATATATATATATATATATATATATATATATATATATATATATATATATATATATATATATATATATATTATAATTTCAAAATGTATATCAAATTAATTTTGTCAGCGTATGATAATGAAAAGAAATTTTATTTAATACCATGACTTCGATTAAAAAAATTAACCAATTGTCAATATCCTAAAATAAGTTAATATTGCACTTTGATTATAAAGACATTACTCTTCATTCTCCGTTAAACAGGTGATTCGGCGTGATCTTGTGAATGCTATTCGGAAGATAAGGATTGACAAGCAGATAGAAGAGTTTCTTCTACATCAAGACAACGCTCCTGCCCACCGTGCTGATACATGCTTGCTTGAGTTGGATTTGTTAGGTTTAGATCGTGTGATTCATGCACCTTACAGTCCGGACCTAGCGCCGATGGAGTTCAAGGTTTTCCCTACTGTGAAGGCGGAATTACGCGGTAGAAAGTTTAAAAACAGAAAAACTAACGTATGCGACACGGACAATCGTTAGAAGATTAGATGAAAAGTGGTATAGAGGTGTCTACAATGAGTGGGTAAGACGTCATAGACTGTGTGTGAAGTGTAGAGGAGAGTATTTTGAAAAACAGTTACTGTGAAATACGACGTCGTGACGTTGTGTTTGACGTTACGATAATTGTTTTGGACTGCTCCGTGGACACAGAACAAGCCGATATTAAAATTAAGTAACATCACTACCATTTATTCCAATGAAATAAAATTTTGCATATCGGTAAAATAAATGTTTTTGAACATAATAATGTGTGGATCATGAATTTCTGACAAGTAATATTGCGAAGAGCGACATTGTCTACGAACTTTATGAATGACCCTCGTAATATTTACATGCTTCATAAAAATGAAAATACAAACATAATGATATTCAAAAATGCAAGTAGTTTTATTCCAATAACACTGTACACAGCCATAAAAATCATAATCGATATCAATATTATGACGGATGGCGCCAGACATTGTGAAGAATTTTGCTGTATCCTTGGAAACAGCTTCGTAACAATGTTCTTCACATTGTCTATCGTATGTCTTTAGTTAAAGGGGCATGGACACAGATTTGAAGTTTACATTTTCTCAAATTTTCTGTATAATATCATGAATTATATGTTGCCATAGCATTTCACACGGAAATATAATAAAAGCGTGTTCAAAGTTCTTTTTTTTTTCTGGAAATTATTGACACTACAAATTTCGGGACGCGTTTGATTGACAAATCCTTGCACTTTCACAAAGTAAACTTATTCCTTAATACTTAAGAAAAATAGAAATTTTGTTGTATATTAATGAAAAATATTAAAACTAATCCAGAAAATTCAGAGTAGAAATGTGAGAAAGGAAAACCAACTCACCAGTATTGTCAGTCCGTGCTCAGTGATGTGTGCAAAGTTTAACAAACTGAACACATCCAATGAAACGTTAACATGAACAATAACAGATCTCGTGCCCTGTTACAAAAACAGATGTTTTACGTGATGTAAAGAAGAATGTCGTTGTCATTGAATTCTAAGGATATTCATGTAAGTTCAATTCATTTAACTGTTTTTATTTTTTGAGTAAGCATAGAAATTTAAAATGTAAACAATGCGACTGTGTCCAGGCTCCTTTAAGAAATAATATATATTCATTGAAAAAAAAAACTGGTACCGGTAAATAATTTGTTGATGTTGAAAAGAAACATATCTTAATGCCATATTCAGGTTTTGATAGTAATTATGTTCATAGATCGTGGTATTAATATATATATACCGCAACCCTGTAATAACCAAAATACATCTTTTAAAAGAGAAGAAAAGAAGAAAAACTATAAATAATTGATTTCCCTGTCAATCATATCTATATAAGTCGTTCTGTACAATCAGTATGCATTTTTTTAATGCTAAGATAGTGTGCCCTACACGCAGGTGATACGAATTTTACGATTTGGTAAGAGGGGAAAATTGTACAGTTTAAATAAAATATTGGACTCTCACTTGTTATAAGGATAAAATAAGGGAAAAAATTCGAAATTCGTCATATTTGCGTAATTTATCTGAATGTCCAAGGCATCATCACATTCTTGTTTGACTCGTTTCTTCTTTCCGAAAACTTACAGACATATTTCCATCTGTGTATTGAACAAGCATAAATTTTGGATGGGTGTAAACTCTTTCCTGTTTGCTGTTCCTATCTATGCTTCTAGAACTCGTCGAGTCTGCGGTAGGTATTTTTCCCGACTGATAAGTGAAGTACCGAGATGGATAGAAGTAGGGTTTACACGTTACTAAGCACTTGAAACCATGTCTATATTTTTTGCTGTAGAAACAATAAATCATAGGATTAACTCCACTGTTACATAATCCCAACCACTGACTGACGGGTATAATGATCTCAAATAATAGATTCAATTCACTTTGTGAATTTGGTGGATAGAAGTATAATTTGAAATATATCACATATAACGGCAGCCACGAGAGAGCGAAGATACTTATTACTATTCCAAACATCTTGATGACTTTGATCTTGGATTTGTGGATAACGCCGCTATAACAAGTGTTGGAGACACCAGGGGCATGCCGGCGCCAAACACGGATAGTTATTGAAGTGTAACATACCATGATAAGAATCAGTGGCAATGCGTAACACAACAGGAAAAGTCCAACAACAAAATAAGACCGTTGAAAGTTGAAGTCTGGCCATATCTGATGACACATGGGTATAATCTGAGACCGTGTATGGGATTCATATGCCTCGTAAAATATGACAACCGGAAGTGACAAAGTAATGGCAACAATCCAGATACAAAAAATGGCGACACGGGCGGCAGTTTTGGAAATTTTCGACAACCATGTATTACAAATTGCCATGTACCTAAAAAGTATATACAATTAATTCTGTATAAATTGTCAAACATTATGACATACAGCAGTTTAAAAAAAAATGATTTAAGTGCTGAAACATACTTTTATAATAATTAAACATAATTGTTCTTGAAATGTCGAGAATTTACTGGGTGAGAGCATGACAAATATTAGTCAAATTCTAAATGTTGAATATATTCCCATCCGTAAATTTTAATAAAATAAGAACAAGACACAACACCAGAGGAACATGTCTTTATAAATGGTTATCTGACCTATAGGACCTGGATTGGTTTTATTCTTTACAAAAAGCTTGTCGATTTTCGTTACGGTCAATGACTTTAGGCTACATACATATTCTAATTTTTTTCTCATAAATCATTTCAGTATGTATGGATAGGAGGAACCTTTTCATATATTAACTATAAAGCATGATATTGTCAATACATTTGAGTTTCTTATCTACAAATGTTTGATATTTTTGTTTACTTTTCATTCGCGCATTATGGTAATATTCTTATGCTAGTTTATTTTACAACAAAATTCCATGGATACAATAAAACTTGCCATTAATGTCTGCAAATTATATAAATGAAGTCCAAAGAAGAGCAGATACTGATATGTAGCCCTTCTGTTTTAAAATTTGAGATCTAAGTTTAACACGTTGACTCAGTAAAAAAGTATATGTATGTAATTCTAAATATACTGAAAGGAAAAAGAAACGCAGGGTACACTTTTTAGGTGAAATAAGTTTATATTTTTCAGACTATTTTCCAGTTATCCTATCTAACATTTAAAATTATCTTTAATAAAAATGTAACCAAAATCTCATTTGATTTTCCCCAATAATTCATGAGTTATTGAAACACATATGACGGTGCCCCCCAAAAGTGAAAAATGAAAATTCTCATTATTTCACGTCTCTCCCGCGCATCTGTCACAGCCTTGATTCTCCTATGCATGGAGTTCATCAGTGTGTTTATCCTTCTAATAGGGATATTATTCAACCCTTCAAAGAAGGCAGTCCTTAGTTGATTGAGACCAGCTTCGACATTTTAAACCCTATCGTCCACGTAGTCCCACAGACGTTTGATGCGAAAAAGATGGACTTGAGAGAGACCAGTCAAAAGGATAAATGTGACTGTTTGCGAGAAAATCTTGACAAACCCTGTAAGCATTGGGAGGGGGGTTAACATGCCCAAAAAAATAGGCAAACAACGCACGCATGCGCGAGTTAAAGGAACACTTACGTAAATTTGACGAGCTCACAAACCAATATCGCGCTATCGATTTCCTTCAGTCTTGGGGTGAATGTAACGATTATGATAGCCTGCTGTATTAATAACAGTTTTAGGGTAATGTGATGGTGATTATACAGGTGGCAGGATAAATAGCCCGATCTTGACGTAGCGCTGTTACGCGTCAACGTCATCGTCACGGTTGGAAACCTTTCTAAGCTTTTCTAAGGACGGATAAGACGTTCTATTTCGGAAAAAATCACAGCAAACTGCACAGAAACCCGTCGTTGCCTTTGTCCTTACTTAAGCAATGCAATAGTCAGACCCCATGTTACTGTTAATGTCGAAAAACGATGTTATAACTTAAGTGCAGCAAATGGTACTATGAGATGTGTGAAAAACAAGTCTTAATCGATATGCACATGTTTTTGGCCTTTTACCACTTTCCTTATGTGACGTCATACATTTCACGGATGAGTGGTTCTGAACACTGATTTTAATGCACAGTAACCAAGATATCCCTCTGACCAAATTTTATAATTTTCGGTTATACAGTCAAAAAAATGTTCGCATATTATGTTACCCTGCATTTCTTTTCCTTTCAGTATACATATATTAAGCTCAAATAATATAAGCAACACGTTACATACTTTCCAATAACCAAGATAAGCACTAGTAGTATAGACAGAGTAAAAGCAACGTGAATAAATTCTAAGGAATATATACATGTACAATCGAAATCCATTGTAGTTCATTTTAGGCGAGAATACCTGTATCGAATAACACACAGTGAATAATTTTAGAAAATGCACTATACTGAGGTATAGTTCCGCTTGACTATGTTTTAGCTACAATGGAATTTACGATTTGCTCTCGCTCTTAAATGTCTTTTATGTCAAGAATGAACATGCATAAAAGATAGATAATTGCAGGGAAATACTAGGTTTCCTTATTTTTTTTAATTTGTAGTTTTTTTTTGTGATTTTCGACCCTAGGGCAGTGGTGCCCCCCAAAAATTCAATCTTAATTTTTTTTTCCTTGCGTCATAACCTATCAAAATATCATAATTTATTTAGGGACAGGCCTGCTCTAAAGGACTTCAAAACCAAAATTCACACAAAATCTGTGCTTTTACGGACAAAATGCTCTTTTGACAATCTTATGAGGTTAATTTTAAAGTTGCAATAAAAAAAACTAAAAAATCCAAATTTGAAAAATTTAGACAAATAAACCATAGAAAACATCTAATGAACGTTGATTTTTAAATGTGACTTTTTCCGGGAAATTGTTCTCTCCTATAGGTCAAATCTTTTGATTCCGAATACATCCTTAGAGAGGGAAAAGGGAGGGATTGACGTTTCGACGCCCGTTTAAACAAAGAAAAACCTTTTACTGATAGTAATGGAAACCGTTACAGATGTTCCCCTAAACGACTCCCGTACTCCCTTCCGTTTCCTTTGTGGTGCACTATTTCCTATAATCTCTAAAAAAAGGTAAGCAATAATTCGTATGATAAAGTTTCTCGTATCTACCATAGTACATCACAACGTAGATGTTGCCATACAACTTCTGGCCAATCGCATTTCTGCGCACGTATTTTTATATCATCTGAAAAGTGTTATCTCGAAATAGAGAGTTACGTATTACATTGTAAAATGCAACGAATGTCATTGCAAATTCTGAAAGTTACAGCATTTGACATAACGGCCAATTAGAATTCAGCTAACATGCATGCATCTGCTTTTGTTAATTTCTGATGATACTATAATGCAAGGATGCATATTATTTGCCTAAATTCTAAATTTTGTCTTAGTTCGTTGTAAACTACAAAAGTAGTGATTTACAACCTTAGCTTTAAAATTCAGAATGCATGTACGTACGCGTGTTTTCTTGATCTCTAATATATATCTTTTTATAGTGTCTCATGTTATATACTCTGAATTTTACACTATTTCATTGATAAAAAAGAAAGTAAGGATTATGAATGTATTTGCCAATAGAATTCAGCACACGTGTATGCATGCGCTTGCATTATGTTTTATAGTATCATAATGTAGGAAAATATTGTACTTATCTATATTTTAATTTCTAGGCCATTATGTAAACCTTGAATTTTCCGTTTTCTAGAGCATGAAAATTGTGTGGGTGTGACTGGTCGGCAGGGGATGCTTACTCCTCCATGGCACCCAATCCCACTTCTGATGTTATTGGGAGATCCTGATTTGTATTTTTGCTATTGACTTTTGAGCAGCTTGATTACTGATCGCTATCTCCAAATTTGGTTCTAAATTTCGCTCTGTTTAGTTGAAAAATAAGACAGTTATAATCATGTATTGTAGTGCACGTGTTTTGGAGAAACTTCGTTTATGTCATATTATAGGGCCACATAATTTGTACATATATGTAGTTCGTTGAGAAAAAAAAAACAAGAAAGTGACTGAGCCAATCAGAACGAAGCATGCGCGTGCGCTCATGTTAATTCAACCATGTCATTTTGTCTTGGTTACGTATATTTGTTTATTTACCGAGTTTCAAAGCATTTCATAGCAAATATGACAATTATAGCTATCTCAATTATATTAATTTAGTCATTTCACTAATCACATGCACGTGCACGTATGTCCGCGCAATGACCTTCGTTTCGGACATATGCACAGCATATACACAGCATGCATACTAATCCTGTAAAGGTTTTACTTCAACTGGATGAGCCTTTTTTCTAGAACACTTGTGGACGTTAAAGTACCGGAGAAGAAGTGATAAAAGTTAACATAATATTTTCAAACTTCGTTTGGGGATCCTCCATTACCGTACTTAACTTCAACGGGTAAGGAATAAATTACATACATAACATAGTGAAAATGTATTAAACTCCAAGTTTTCAATTTTACACAACACATTTTCTGTTGCAATTTCTGTTGATGTTAGTATCATTCTATCTTATTTTCTCTTATCATTTCAGTGAGAAGGGTATTTTGACTTCAAAGTAAAGCACTTGTCAAGCAAAACATTGTCATCGTTTCAGGCCGACACCTACGACTTTTGCAGGAAATGGTTAACATAATTGTCTTATTTCATGAAAAACACATAAAAAGATGTTTTATTATATTCCTAAGGCAATGTTAGAAGAATTCGTAATCATGCTTTATATAAAAGTTTTTTATTTTTATTGGTAAAATATATAAACGTTTCCAAATCGAAATCCTTAAGTCTAACTTTCAGGATTTGTTATGGTTACGGCGGGTTGGACCAATCGTCAGAAAACGCCTAAGCACCCGACCGCATCTCTGGTGTTTTGCCCTCTTCACAATTTGTAATGCAAGTTATTTATAGTATTTGTGAGATTTAATTTGTTACTGTTCGTTATAGACATCTTTTTTATTTGGACATTTTTTTGCCTATTTTCTAAAACCAGTATAAGCTCTGATCTGATGAGACTGGCTGCAGCTCTACTGTATCTTGATGTAGTATACATGAAGCTGTGTACCAGGTTTAATGAAATTAAACCAAACATGAGAAAAAGCGTTTTGAAAGAATTGCATAAATCTTTCTAATTAAATATTTCTTACCATTGCAATCCTTCATCGAAATAAAGTCTACATATGAAACTCTCAAGTTTTATTGAAATCGGGCCCAACTTAAGGACAAGTAGTATTCAGAGGGAATTTAGAAGGAATATAAACATCAAGCTTAAGCTTCGAAGTATTTTGACTTTTCCCAGTGTCATCATCTCTTTTTAACCGAACATTAATATTAATTACCTTTTCCAGAA